TTTGTGGGCGCTGCTGATGGGGTCGGCCGTTCGGGGTATCGGCTGGTGCTGTTTAAAGTGCCCGGTTCATGGTAACGGTGGACAAACACACAAATATACAGACAGACAGACAGACAGACAGACAGACAGACAGACAGACAGACAGACAGACAGCGTAAAGATTTTTTTTTGTCGAAGGTCCCCAAGAAAGACTATCGTCTTTAAAAAGTGCTCAAGGTCACAAGGTGCACGCGACGTTTTTTTTTTGCCCCTGCCATCTCTCTCTGCTTAGCTTCCAGCGCTTTTGTTGGGACGAGAGAAGCGAGAATGCAATTGCCGCATGCGACAAATCTTTACAACTCCACTCGCACCGGATGGTTTTTAAAATTTTTGCGGCGTTGAATTCGTGAGACAGTAAGCTCTTCCAGGGAATTCGTCTTATGGTTACTTGAAACATTGTTTCAGGACCCCTTTAACAAGTGAGAACAGAGAATTGCGAAGAACGGGACCGCGCACAACGACAAGCAATTACGGAATTCCTGAAAGCACGTGGTAGTTGACTCGTGTAATTACTCGCTCCATGCAATGCGGCGTCTCCGAATGACGGCTGTCCCTAAAGTGCCCGCAGGGAAAAGTTGTGCACTGTAATTGGCGCTATGAAAAAAAAAACCTACAGACGTTTTTCGTCGCGACAAAAAAAAAAAAGAATGCGCTCCCGCCTTACGTTAGCCTAAAAACAAGCAAAAGGTAACGCGTGTTACTGATGCCATTATTACGGTCACAAATTTGAATCATATTGTGTCTTCACTACAGGCGCGCTTGTGTCTTCACTGTGAGCGGCGCGCTTCTTTCGTGAACGCGGCCGCGGCAGCGAGAGAATTGACGTTCGTGCTCATATTGTGTCTTCACTACAGGTACCCACAGTAAAAAAATGTCATACAGGTGAAATTCATTTTTCATGACACTCCTAGTCGAAACAAGGATTTTATAATACCAATGTTCTGAAAAGGGAATAATTTGCACATATATGCCGGATAGCGGCATATGAAGTTGCCTGTAGCCAGTGAAGCGTTACATGTGGTGGATTCTAACATGGTAGGACCGATTTTTACATTTGTACATTAAGCCCGAAATTTCATCACAAACGCTGTCCTCCCAGGAAACGTCACTCAAACTCGCAATACATTTACTGTAATTCTGATGATGTGCTTCTGCTAATGACACACTCAAATATTGTAGTCACATAGAAATGGTTAAACAATCAGTTACAGACAAGAAAAAAATTCGAACACACGCGGTTTTTCGTTTTTAACCTGTATAATTGCCTAAAAAAATTGATGGTGTTTATACGGAGTAGCTCAAGGTCAGCCTTGTTCACTCAAAAATAAGTATCTGTAGAGATGAATGGGCATATTGCCGTTAGAAGAAAGCAGATTTTCTTTCGAGAACATGGTTAATGTACCAGCGCCACAGTATTGCAGGGAGGACTTTCTAAGCTTGTGGGATCTCTATGTGGAGAGCACGCCACACTCTTGGAGTGAACGGACACAGGAGACGCGGTCGGAATGAACCAAACAACTCACATTTATTCAACTACTTTTAGAAACTACGATATTATCCGCCGAATTATTACATTGACTTCGATCAACACGCTAAACAACCATACACAGTACTACACAGCACTCAAAAACACAACAAATACTAGGTTCACGGCCGACTGCAGGTGTTCAGAAAAGAGTACTTGTTGCATTCAAGACGTTTCTTGAGGTATCAGATATTTTTTGGAAATTTTGACCTACCGTATGCGATGTCGTCTTCATACAAAAGGACGTATGTAATATTTATATAGTGTGTTTAATATGTGGAATCATCTGTCTCAGTGCAAACTGACCTTGTATGTGGAAGTTGCGTACATATGTATCTAGTGTGAACTGACTTTGTATGTGGAAATAGTGTACACACGTATCTATTAGGCGAATATGAGCTGTCATGTGAGAAGAACCGATCGTGTGTGTGAAACATATGAACCTAATAACTTCATGTGAACTGACCTCCGAAGTTTCGTTAATGTGTACTTTCACATCGTATGTTGTACAGACTCGCATTTTGTGCCCTTATTGTTGATCGTACGGCATATCTTGCCATCTAAGAGAAAAAGGAGTAGCCGGTGCCACTTTAATGGCACCAACCTCTCCTATTTCATCATTTTAATAAAAAAAAAAAACACAAGACCACACACAAGGCGGCTTCGCCAACTCTTGACTCACCACAAGAGCTTACGGCAGACGGCCCACAGCGCCGTAATCCGCAGACCCACCGCTTAAGACAACCGTTCGCGCCAACCGCCACCTGCCAAAGAGGACCGCTTCTCTCCCCTCTGCACCACAAAGGCTTACCGCCAGGTGTCACCGCCGGTGCTACCGTTCTAACCACCATGATGATGACGGTGGTGGGGGTGATAAACGCTTGCTAGCACAACGCCACCTAGCGCTCGGTAGTCGTGTACCCAAAATGCGGCCTCTGCGCGAAACACGTGCGCCACGAGGCGCGAACAACTTTACGGGGGTGATAGTACCTCCACAAGCTGTAATCGTAGACTTTACTTCGATTCTATATGGATACGTACGCGTCTGCGCTAAATGGGTGCTGAACGTATACGCATTGGATGTTACTTTCAACGCCTGGGAGCCGGTAGCAGTGCAGCGCTGCAGAGAATTCCGTCAGGGGCGAAAGCGGCGCACGAAATCCCGGAATGATTTAAATATAGCGACAAGCTACGTAAAACCTCACGGTTACCGAAAAGTGTTAACGTTATACCCGTTGTATGTATGGCAACGTGTATGTAACGAAGTTGCCGAAAAAAATAAACGTGATTGATCCCTTTCTTTAGAAATCGGTATAATGCAAAAGTGAAATTGATTGATATTTGGGGTTTAACATCCCAAAACCACCATATGATAATGAGAGACGCCGTAGAGGAGGGCTCCGGAAATTTCGACCACCTGGGGTTCTTTAACGTGCACCGAAATCTCGCAAAAGTGAAACGTTTCCTCGCAGAGGTAGTTGAGCATAAAATGTGCGTTGTTTCACCACAAGGGCGAAGTAATGAATGCTGCACTAACAAGAACGACTAGCAGATCGAACTTGCAGCGCGTATACCTAAAGCAGAAAGCACGCACGAAATAAGCACACACTAGGACGAGCGCGGACAAACAACTGTCACAATTCTTACTTCCTATGTGTGAGCGGCACGCTTCTTCCGCAAACGCGGCCACGGCAGCGAGCGAATCGACGTTCGTGCTATCTAACTACTGTAACTTCAAATCAAACTTGCAGCGGAAGCACAAGAGGTACGAGGCACCCGAATCCCGAGATGAGCGCTAGCAAGTGAGCCACCACGCTATCTATCGCGTGGTGGCTCATAGCGTGGCCATCATAGCGTGGTGGCTCAACTTCATACGCACTTCATGTGGAGACGCGTGCGGGGTGGCGTGTCGTTATAGAAGTAAATTATAACCATACGTCGGCAAACTCATAAGTGGACTCACTCAAACTAACTCTCTCAGATCGGAGCATGAGTCTGAACCTGAGTGAGTCCGTGTGTGTATAGTATTTTGGTGAGTTCGAGTGAGTCCAGTTGAAAAAACTTCCAGTAATTTTGTGTGCGAGTGAGTTCCGTTGAGGAAAGCGTTGGTGAATACAGGTCCTAGGGAGCGCTAGCCACGAAATATACATATTTAGTGAGTCAGTCTGTGCGAGTTTTATGCTTTTGTTTTTACCGACCTATGGTCTTACCTACAAATCTTGAGCATTGCTATCAAGCTCACCTGAGCTCACGCTTATACTCACGTCTACTCTTACTTATTTCTGTGCACTAGGGTTCATACAAAGCAATAATAGTTATTGATTAGAGGCATAAAAATAAATGTGCTTGACCCTCCCTCTCCCCCCCCCTGATTTCTTTAACGGGAAGTTAAAATGCCTTTGCTGAATTTAAACCACTGATAACTCTTATTTGAGGTACCACATCAAAAGGTGCCACGTACAGCATCGATTATATGAGATATTGGCGTTGAAAAGGAATGCCACCATAATCGAAAAAACTACTTTTGCGCTAACGCACTCATGATTCGACTCACTATGGCTAGCTCAGGCTCAGCACAGGCTCAGCTTGAGCCTTGAACGTCGACAGAGCGCTTTTTTGTTCATAGCCTAACATTTTCGGCGCTGGTGAGAAACACAAGGGTGTTTAGAATGACTCATCTGCGTGTTTTCTACTAAAGGAACACACCTAATACTTACGTATTGATGTAGCGCCTCAGATATACTTAATGTTTGCTTTTTGATCGACCATGTTCACAAGTATCTATGCAGCCACCAGTTGAAGATCACTGGGTGTTCAGCAAGTGTATAAACTTTGACAGATTGGCTGAATCATCACGAACAGACAGACATACAGACAGACAGACAGACAGACAGACAGACAGACAGACAGACAGACAGACAGACAGACAGACAGACAGACAGACAGAATGTTTGCGTTGAGGTATCCCAAGGAAGACCGGGCGTAGCTTGCACTAGTGGCACAAAGCTAAAAGGGCACAACGGAGTTGATGATATGACGTTACTGAGCGGGCGCACACTCTTGGCGAGAAAGACGAGACGAGGGAACGTGCGCCATGCGCATGCGCTGTAGGCTGAGCTCGTAGCGGAGATCCGGTGATGCGAACGCGAGCATGGACCACACCTTTCTCGGGCAGACCGAATGCGAAGCTGTGCGAACCGACGCCGGTGGTTGCTAGGCAACACGAGGTTCGTTATCGCAGCGCGCAGTATTTGTCCGTGATGGACGTATTACGTGCTTGTGCATTTCCGTGCTAAGATTCAGTTGATAGGGCAGTGTCTGTGTGTTCTCATCGGTTGTCCCGATGTTCCGAGCTCAGAACACGATCAAAAAGCTAAGTTTGCAGGGTAATCTGACTTAGTTTTCGCGTGGAGACCACTTGAAAACCACTTTGCAGAACTTCTGAAGAAGAGCGCACCCAGCCGCGTGGTGAACATGTCTTCGGTGCTTCACCACTTCGGCACCACGTGGCGCCTAGAGGAGCAGGCGAAGGGCACGTACACGTGGAGGACGCCGTTGCTCACCTACTGCAACGCCAAGATGGCCATGGTGCTTTTTACCCGGGCGCTGGCGCCTCGGCTGAAGCCGCATGGTGAGTCGCGTTGTGAAGGACGACGGGAAACTGAGATGGTTACGGCCTAAACTTCACACGGTCACAAATTGGCTCTAGATGACCTTCAAAGGCGAAAACCATTTTCGCTTTTAAGTCGATCGTATTGGTCCCCAATGAAGCTTTCTGCAGCTAACGTGACTTTGCTTTGCCCCCGAGATCGGCCTACTGTTGACCAAAGGACAGTATCATGTTGACGAGGCCGCCATATAACGTCATGAATTTTGCTGTCATGTCATATGAGGACTTCTTACGATGATTTCGTTACTTGATAGCGCTTTTTTGCATCACACATGCTGACGCCCACGATCAACTCGCATTTGGCGAGGCATCTGAGGTTTTCGCGGTAAAATAGGATCCGCCCACAGAACTATTGCGCTCCTGCCTTTCACTTGCGTAAGACAGGCTGGCTGTTTACCGTTTGAGCCAAAAGTACATTTTCTCGGTACGTATATTAGTTAATGAAGGTTCGTCTGCATAACCTAAAATGTGGTGTTTAGATGAACAGCGGTGTCACATTTTTTATATTAAGTTACAGGGACGTTGAGGGTTTAGATCTAGCCTAAGACAAATGATAGTGTCCCGTATTTATCCGGGCAAGTGAAAGACGTGACGTCGCAGACATAAGCAAGAAAGATCGTACAGAGTGTTAATCCAGATTAACTGTAGGAGGGACACTGCGTGCTGAGGTTCTCCTATTATCAAGTTGTGACCAATTGTAGGTCGCGAGGAAGAAAAAAAAACATTCATGTATCTAGCGGCGAGCGAGGCCAGGGCTCAACTGGCAGTTCGGTCACTTTGCAGCTGCCAGAGCCATACGAAGAGTGGGACCTTTGGAAGGGGTGAACTCATTTGGTAGCTCTTTGCCATTGTTGGTTTGAGATGATTTGAGATGATACACGTACGCTGAAAGCGTGTAAATAAAGCGGATACAGAGATAGACGTCACACGCACGGCGCTCTTGTGTCTTACGTGCTTTTCACCCTGTATAGTGAACTCGTTCATCGCCGCAGACAGCAATAACAGGCAAGTAACAGCCAGCCACGAAAGAAGGTAAAAACAATAAGAGAAATCAACCAGTCCCACGCCGTGAGAAGTGGCGGGACAGCGACACGGCTGGCGTGCGAGTGTGTGTGATTGGCTATAGTGAGATCGTAAATCAATAACTAGATTTGCAATATGCTCACATCAAGCACTAATAATGTTTCAGTTGTGTTCTCCAGTCATAATAATTTTTTTGGTCCTTTGAGAGGTTGCACAACAATGTTTAGGCTAAAATTGGGATTCATCAAAAATAACTCTTCGTGGTAACTGACACCCTAACGTGCAATGGCACTTAGAACACTTAGAAAAAATCCAGGTTATTCGCCTTACTCTTGGCCGATCACCATATGTAAATGCCGGTCATTTACAAGAAGCATCGTCATCATCTTTCAGTCGACTTGGGCAAATGTATAAAGGACCGCGTGAGCTTGAAATGTTGTTGCTCTCGATTACCGGAAGGTACAGTCGAGATGTATGCTTGCAGAGAAGATTATGCACGCCCGTGTCTCCGTTTCCCTTTGCCCTGACCCCGTGCTTCATTTTCATTTGCATGGAGCGTCAAGGAGTGACAGTCAACGCCGTTCATCCTGGTGCAGTCAACACCGGAATAGCGGGGGAAGAAAGGCTCATCGCTTACCTGTTTCGGGTCCTCTTGGCTTTCTACGGAAGGGTATGAACAGCGTATTTTTTAAGCTAACTAGGAAACGGTACACTGACCACGTAGTCTTGTTATTGCTAGCAGACCATAACAAGCAAAGGTAGCATAGAAGAATTGTAAGTAGGCCTTGGGTTTATGGGATTTCAGAGCTGATCAGCTTGACGGGACCACACCTCAGCCATGGCGTCTGCTGCCTCGTTTGCATAAAACTCAAATAAAAAAATATCGACTTAAAAGAGCGTCTTTTTTGTCCCACAACAGTAATCGTCATCTATCTTGCGTTCCTTTCCTCGCACTATTACCGCGTTCTTTGTATACTTTCAGGCCACGAACTACACGCGCGTTATCAGCGTGACATAGCTCTTTTGAGAGGAAAGTTACCAGTGCCTAGTTTTCAAGAAAAGAAGCGCAACCAAGCCGGATGATGATTATTGTGGTGAAACAAAAAGACACCATTTCTACTCGATCTGCTTTCGAATGAATGTTTATGATCAGTGTACCATGTTTATGCCTCGCAACTTTTGCCGCAGGCACTTTTCCGTATCACCGCGTTTTAACTAGAATAGAAACTATATAATTAACAAGAAAGGTTTGCCTACAGTACCTTAATTGATGTGCTGCTTTAGCGTCTTGTTGGCAAAGAATAAGTGAGATTTAAACGGCCTAACATTATGCAAGGTGAACATGCAACGAAATCCCGAGAACACTGCAATGACAAAAAATGTATGCAGTTCCACTGAACGTGAAGAATGCAGGAAGTGCGAATCAGCAATTTGCATGTCCTTCAGCAGTGCTACGTTCATGGCTAAGCTCGCTGTGGCGCTTTAAACGCGCAGTGCAGCCTACTCGGCCTGCATGACGGGAAAGGAAGCCTCCATTGGCGAAGCGGCACTCTCCGCATCTTTCTTTTCCTCCCCCTCTACCTCACATGACTCCTTCTCACTCCCCTTTTTCACCCATTATGTATGCCTTCCTTTCCCACCCACTGCTGGAGTATACAACCTCCACCCTTGCTGTACAGTACACGGATATGCTGTGATTCATCCTCACCCTCCTCCTTGCAGCTTTCCTCTCCAACGCTTCTCTTTCCCACCTTCTTGCTGCACTGTATAGCTATACTGCGCTCTATCCACTGCCTCCTCTTTTCCCGCCTTTTTCATCTCTCATTACTTCTCCTCACCCTTACTTTTTTCCCCTTTCTATAATACCGTACTGCTATGACTATGCTATGCTCTCAGCTCCCCTCCGCATTTTCCTCAACCTCAAGTAACTCCTCCGTAGCCTTGCCGTACTAAGGAGAATACCTTAGTAACCTGCGCTTCGCCGATGACATTGCATTGCTGAGTAACTCAGGGGACGAATTGCAACTCATGATTAAGGAGTTAGACAAGGAGAGCAGAAAGGTGGGTCTTGAAATTAATCTTCAGAAAACGAAAGTAATGTTCAACAACCTCGGAAAGGAACAGCGCTTCGAGATAGGTAATAGTGCACTTGCCAAGTTGTAAAATACAATGTCTACTTAGGGCAGGTAATAACCGCAGAGCCGAACCACGAGATTGAAGTAACTAGAAGAATAAGAATGGGGTGGAGCACATTCGGCAAGCACCCCCAAATTATGACAGGTAGATTGCCACTATCCCTTAAGAGGAAGGTATATAACAGCTGTATCTTGCCGGTACTTAGCTACGGAGCAGAAACCTGGAGACTTACAAAGAGGGTTCAGCTTAAATTGAGGACGACGCAGCGAGCAATGGAAAGAAAAATGGTAGGTGTAACCTTAAAAGACAAGAAGATAGCAGAGTGGATTAGGGGACAAACGGGGGTTAAGGATATCATAGTTGAAATAAAGAAGAGGAAATGGACATGGGCCGGGCATGTAGCGCGTAGACAGGATATCCGCTGGTCATTAAGGGTAACTAACTGGATTCCCAGAGAAGGGAAGCGGCTTAGGGGGAGACAGAAGGTTAGGTGGGCAGACGAGATTAAGAAGTTTGCGGGTATAAATTGGCAGCAGCAAGCACAGGACCGGGTTAACTGGCGGAACATGGGAGAGGCCTTTGTCCTGCAGTGGACGTAGTCAGGCTGATGATGATGATGACCCTTGTCATACTGTACTTGTCATACTGTAAGATACCCCGGGTAAAACATGCCTGCGCATGTTTTACCCAGGGTATCTTGCATCGAGGTAGCTTGCTTTCTGCGTAGATGTTGAGCCGCCGCGTGCAGCGCTCTCTCCTGGGGACGCTCCCTGGACTTGTGCCGACCGGCTGTGCGCCCGCGCGCTCCGCGCGCTCGCGACCTTCGGCGTCATCGTAGCGCTGGCCGACTGGTCTCGCCCTACGTCATCTCCTGTCGCCGACGACCTTCGACGACAGCGCAGCTCTGATTTACTGGTCCTGCTCTACGCCATCTACAGACGCCGACAACATCTCTCGCAAGTGTACCCCGTCCACGGACTCCAGTGACCGTTCTTCCATCTTTCCTGTCTCTCCTATCCCGTCAGTTTGTTGTTGCTTCTTCTTCCTCTTTCCTATACCTTTACTTCTACCCCTTTATCCCTCCTTACCCCCATCCCTTTGTGAGCTCTGTGGCGGTGTCGCTCACTGAAGCAGACAATAACGGGGCTCACTTTTCTCTTCCTTTCTCTCAAGAACCACTTCAGCGCTCTCTCCTCCAGAGTAGCAGCTTGTTGTCGGCGCTGCCGCTGCTTCGAGATCTCTCGCCTCCGTGGTAGCTTGTTCTCTGCGTCGGCGTGGCCTTCACGGGAGAGAGCGCGTTCACCTGTGTTCAGAAAAATTTCTTGTCACGAACATCAATAACATTCAACAGAACATTTTCTTTTTGGACATACACTAACGATGATGACAAAACAGACGTCATTTACATGAACATGGATATGAGACGACGTTGGAAGAACATGTACATTAGATGAGTCACACAAACACAACCACAAAAATATTTCAGGGTAAATAAGAGACACAAATAAAACAGGAATATGTAGATTTTGCTTATTTACATGTTGGTATGCCATTTCTGCCGGCGCATCGACACATCAGCCTACCAATACCAGGCTGGCCGAAAGACAAGTTGCACTCGACCGTCACAGACTGACACAAAAGGGCAAAACCAGTGCCGAAGAAATTCCTCTTCACCGAGGAACAAGAGCTCCTCCGACAAAACAGATTGCAGCTCCGACTACAATCGTTCTAGGATCGGGTAGAGCGCGCGGCGGCGGCGGCCAGCTGCAACCGCCTCGCAGCGGTTGCGCCAGAGGCAGAAAGAGCAAGCAACAATGAGAAGACAAGCGAAGCGGCCTCGCGAACAACGCCCAAAAGAAACGAAGCTATTTACTCTGAGGCAGCGAAATCCGGCATGTACGGCTCTCCAAAAAACGCGAGCAATGACACAATGCCTCAGAAAATGCTGATTTGTTTCCCGAAGGGAGCAGTTCGGACATGTAGCTGACTGGACCATTCTCGACCTTTCGAGGCGGTCAAGAGTGGGAAGCACACCCCATCCCAGGCGCCACATGAAGTCCCGGAGGTGTCCAGGCAGAAAAGAAGCCGTTAAGGTGCTCCAAGACAACCGTCCAGAGCGAGCACGCCGGGATGAGGGGACCAACGGAAGCAACAAAGCAGCAGTTGTCTCAACTATGTGGTTGTTCAACACATCTATGCCAGGACAGGTCGACTGAACATGGCGAAAAAATGCAACAGTTGTTGCATAAAACGCAGGAAGTGTTATTGACTGCGGCCCGCTGTTAAGTTGCACATTAGGCATCAAATGCCGAAGGTGAGTACCCAGAAAGTAATATGCAAGCGTTCGTGCGGGGGATTCCTCCCCTTGCACTAGGTGCAAAAGGAAGCGCAGTGCCAGCAGCCGACAGCGTATGGACACTGAAGAGAAAGCAAAGCCTCCCTGAGAACGCTGCTGTCCCAGTGCCGCACGAGAGACCAACTCAGTGCCGCCTGACCAAAAAAAAAAAAAGGAACACAAACCAGACTGCAGTGATCGCACGATACGTAAAGATGGTTGCACGACGTGAGAAAGGTACCAAATGCGACCGCAAAATACAGTCTGCGCAAGGTACCTCCGCTCAAGAAGCGGAAAGTAAAAACCCCGTGCATCTTGAATTTTCAGTCTTGCTTCTTCGAGAGCGTTTAACCAAACGGATTCGCAAATGCCGTAGTGGTTGTATAAAATACCTAAAATACGAAGAGACGTGGCCGGCTGAATAGGAAAACCGGCGCTAAGCCTGGAGTTTGGAGAGCCAATGAAGAAATACCGGGATTTAGAGATGTTCAACGCTGCAACTGTAATGTCGCCATACTGGGAAAATACACGCAGATTGCGTGAAAGGCTATCTTCAATTGAAAGGTACAAGGTTATATCGTCAGCGAAAGCTGTGGCTTTAACGACACTGCTATATACCAGGAAGCACAAGACCCCGGACGCGGAAATCCACGTCTAGAGAACGCAAATATCGCTCAAGCTGAGGACAAATAGCACAGGAGACAGTGGACATCCTTGAAGGACCCCACATGTTATGGAAAAGGCAGCACTTTATAGTGTGCTTTTCAGACCAGTGTAGGTATTTCTAATCATTTCCACAAACGAATGAAAAAAGCCGAAGGCTGTGAGCACATAAAAAATATACGTGTGCTCTAGTCGTCGGTAAAACGCTTTTTCCTGGTCCAAAGACACAAGGATACCATGCGCAGATCTCGACAGAGTATAGGCTATGATATCACGTGTGGTAAATGACAAGCTGTGTATTTCTCGTCCAAGCACTGATGAAGTCTGGTGATGACCTACCAGGGCGTTCAACAGACCCGGGCGTTCAACAAACGTTGAATGACTACCGCCGCGAATATCTTACAGTCAACGTTAAGGAGCATGATAGGTCTCCAGTCTTCAGGATTAACAGAGGAAGCATCACCTTTTGGAATGAGCACAATGCGTCCATCTCGAAAACTGGATGGAAAGACACCATCCTCGTAACATCGCCGGAT